TTGTGATGTTTTCATTTTAGCACTCACTGTAAAAAATGAATATGCTTTATCTAAACAAAAAACTTGTGGCAACAGATTACAAGCAATATTATTAAATAAATTAAAAAAATTAGAATTGAGTAATAATTAATCAAATTAATTCCTTAAAAGTTAACCATTTAAAATGAGTAAAACTTACAACAACAACCAATAAAACATAAATCGAAATCACCATTATGGTGATCAGTGTTTGTTTTAAAGGGATTCTGCTTGTTAACATCAGGTGTCTTCAATGTTGCCAATATAAAATAAAGAGTTCTCAATTAATCTTTGACATCTGTCTGTTAGTGAGATGTTTTTGTTGCATTTTATGGTGTAAACTTTACTCGTTTTAAATGGTTAACTTTTAAGGAATAATTTGATTAATTTTTACTCAATTCTAATTTGTTAAATTTAATTAATAATATTGCTTGCAATCTGTTTCCACAATTATATTGATTAGATTCATTTTTACAGAGAACGCTGTGAATGGGGACGTGAGCTCTCCTTTAGTCCTACATGCGTCATTTTGGCACAAGCCTGGCTAGCGGTTTAAAGTCTGTCTGTCTGAATGAAAGTGAGTTTTTCCTAAGCCCTCTCTTCATCCCCCAGCCCTTTCTTCTCTTCTCCTCCTTCTTTATTTCTCTTTTCTCCCTATGTCTCTTCCTCTCTCACTCTCATTTGCTTGCATCCTGTTCTCACAAAATAGAAAGGATCTTAAACAAAAGATAAAAGCTATTGCTGCTCACTCTTAGAAGAAATGGTTCTATTTAGAACCAGAAATGGTTCCATCCCCCCTTCATATATGGAACTCCAACAATTTTTTTTTTTTTTAACATTTTTTTTAGTAAAAGGTTCTATTGGCCAAGTATGGAACCCCAGGGTACTATATAGAACCCAGAGGAACCCTTTTTTAAGAGTGTATAGAACCTTTTAGGGGTTCCAAATACGTAGCACTGATAGAACCTTTTCTTCTAAGAGTGTGACTTTCAAAATTCTGCCATAAACCAATCCTAAAATGCAAGATCACACTTTCCCAATGCTTATTATTATCTTAACAACACTGGATTTGCAAATAGGTGTAAAGAAGTTTAAGATGTTCTATAAGAGGTAGAGCAATTTCCTTATTTCCAAAAAGTCCCTTTACAAGCACTCATCCCAAGTAGGATAAAAAAAAAAGGTAGAGAGAGACATAATTCCTTTTTAGTGGTGGGGAGATGAATATATGGAGCGGAGGAGGGGTGGCGGGGGGGATGGGCTCTGCTCAGAGGAGGAGGGGAACAGAAGGGACCGGCAGCTGGATAGTGAAGAAGAGTCTTCGGCCAATACAATGGCTGACAGGAGGCTGAGTCTGCAATCAGACTGGAACCTGCAAAGCTCAGACACACCGATGCAGAACACATGAACAGCATCTGCTGTGTGCATTTTTAATTGGGGTCGTTAAGAACTGTTTATGTCTCTCTTATGCTCATATTCAAATTTTCAAGGTTTTATTTTAAAGAGGCTATATTTTTAATAATGTGATGTATACCTGTCAGTCGTCACATGATCCTTCAGAAATTAATCTAATACACTATTAACTGTAATTTGCTTTAACTCAACTAAGTAAAGCAATTTTCAACTCTTTTTATAAGTTATACAAGATTCAACTCTTTTTAAGTCAATTTAATGCATGTAAGTTGAAATGACTTCAACATCCAAATTGATTGTAATCAAAAATATAAGGCAGTTATATCAATATTTTTGTGGAGACCATGATATTTTTCAGGATTCTTTGATTAATTGTTCAAAATGAAAGCAACACTTTTTTTTTTTTTTTTTGTAAGAGTATTAGGTATTTGGTGTTTAGGATTGGGCATTTGGTCATTTAGCCATTGAGGATTGGGCATATAGGGATTGATTAGGTATTTGGTATTTAGGAATGGGCATCTGGTCATTTAGCCATTGAGGATATTGGGCATTTAGGGATTGATTAGGAATTTGGTATTTAGGATTGGGTATTTGGTAATTTAGGATTGGGCATTTGGTATTTAGGATTGGGCATTTGGTCATTTATCCATTGAGGAGTGGGCATTTAGGGATTGATTAGGAATTTGGTATTTAGGATTGGGCATTTGGTATTTAGGATTGGGCATTTGGTATTTAGGATTGGGCATTTGGTATTTAGGATTGGGCATTTGGTATTTAGGATTGGGCATTTGGTCATTTATCCATTGAGGAGTGGGCATTTAGGGATTGATTAGGAATTTGGTATTTAGGATTGGGCATTTGGTATTTAGGATTGGGCCTTTGGTATTTAGGATTAGGCATTTGGTATTTAGGATTGGGCATTTGGTATTTAGGATTGGGCATTTGGTATTTAGGATTGGGCATTTAGGCATTTAGGATTGGGCATTTAGGGATTAATTGTGAATTTGGTATTAAGGATTGGGCATTTGAGGATTGAGGAGTGTATGCAAATAAGGAGGCGTGGCCCAAATACTGGAGGCTGGGTTTGAAATGGCTGGACAGCATTTGGACAGCAGAGGGCGCTCCCAGCGCTAAGGAGCACACTGGCAAAGCGTCTTCTTCAAAGTGAAAGTTGTCTTCCTCTGCCATCCACGTTGGCTGCCATATTAACAATGGCAAAGCCAGATCTTTGTTGAGACAGGCGCTGGACGTTTTGGACAAAGAAAAGGCTTCCAGTAATGGTGGACAGGCTTCTTCCCCGACCAACACCTTCCCCACGTCCATTTTACCAACATCGAACGTGCTTTCTCGTCGTCAGACCGATAGCCCTCCTTTCATGGGTGACTTTGTGTGTGAGGCCACATACATGTTACAACGCTATCATTAAGTTGAAATGATCACATTATAAAGGACAGTCCTCGCTCCAGCCCTGATCACTCGCTCTGTTAGTGTGCTCCGTAGCACTGGGAGCGCCCTCTGCTGTCCATAAGGTGCCTCTGCGCACCAGCCGTTTCAAACCCAGCCTCCAGTATTTGGGTCACGCCTCCTTATTTGCATATGCATAATGCCCAATGCTAAATCCTCAATGGCTAAATGACCAAATACCAAATCCTAAAACTACCAAATTCATTTTCGACTTAAAGTTTTAGTTTTCAACTTAGACTTTTAGTTTCAAATTTAGACTTTTAGTTTTAGACTTTTCATTTTCAATCTGACGCAATAATGCCTCCATAGACAAGGAGTGGTTGAGAAGTGAGAGATTTGTGGAAGAAAAAAGTTGAATGAAAATAAATGGTAACTGTCTGTAAAGTTCTGCCTTCTGTGTTCGACGAATGACAGAAACTCACAGTTTCGGAACTACATGCGAGTGAGTAAATGATGACACTATCCCTTTAAGACTCTGAGGCAGAGCTGCTTTCCTGTTCTGTTCAGGAAAGTTTATACTTGGACTGTCACCGGTTGGCTGAGGAATGTCATAAACATAGAGCTATTCTGCTCCCCATCTTCTGTCACAGGAGAGGAGAAGCCCCTTTATGTCCATATCAGGGATGAAAGAGCGCTTCAGAAAGGAGGAGGGAGCCTTTACGTCTAAAATAGCTGCACCGTTCACCACTCGCCCACATCTCCCTGTTCCCGTAGAGCGCGTGGGCTTGACAGACAGGTCTGTTCTTCACTGGACTCGAGAGCAAAACAACCGGAGAAAACACAAAAGCTGCTAAAGTCCATGACTTACACACTCAAAGTTACATTGTTTTTTTTTTTTTTTTTGGTTAACACTTTAGTTTGGCTAACGCGTTTTCAGACGAAAAAACGAGTGCTGCCTCCCCGTCAGAAGACAGGTATTGCAATGTGGATAGTTGTTTACTGGCCCTATATATAGATAGACAAAAGATGCCACCTCCAGTCATGATATTTGTTTCTCTTGCATATGGCAAAGCAAATGCTGATAATATATCTGTGGTGCAATTTAGTAGTCGAATGAATCATCAGGGCTTCTTTTGGTGTTATTTTAATTAGGCCCAGAGTTCAACACATCCTTGTATAATGCATCAGGCAAATACCCAGAGGCTGTAGTGTAAAACAAGAAATATAAGCATCAGGGGCTTTTAACCTGGCAAAATTTATTTCCAAATATAAAAACAAATTAACCACTAAGCAAACAGCATCTCAAGAGCAAATTCTTAATGAAGATCAGAATCGGATCTGCTAATGAAGTCATTTAAACACGTAACGTGCATAATTGGGGGAAATCGTTTTATGTGCATGCTTATTTATTTGTTATATAATGAATCCCGGGCATATCTTACACACTGTAAAAATGAATATGCTTTATATAATTGTGGCAACAGATTACAAGCAATATAATTAATTAAATTCAACAAATTAGAATTGAGTAAGTAATCAAATTATTCCTGAAAAGTTAACCATATAAAATGAGTAAAGTTTACACAAACATTTTAAAACAAACACCGATCACCAATGGTGACTTCAATTTATGTTTTTTTTAACTCATTTTAAATGGTTAACTTTTAAGGAATTAATTTAATTAATTATTACTCAATTCTCATTTGTTAAATTGAATTAATAATATTGCTTGTAATCTGTTGCCACAATTTTTTTTTATTATAAAGCATATTCATTTTTACAGTGCACAGCAAGGCAACAAAATGATTTTATTTTTATTTATTTATTTATCTATCACCAAAATGTTTGTTTTGGTATCACGAACAGCTGTTGGTTATCATTGGTCAGCAATGTCCCAGTGGGCAAAGAACTAATATGTGTGTGTGTGTGTGTGTGTGTTTTAAACAGCATGTAAGCAGAAGGGTCCCAGCTGCCATTGTACGTTTTCATTTCGTATGTGAATGGGAAATGAATTGGCTTGTGCGGACAGAGACGTACATCATATATTTGTTGTGTATGTTGCATTATGACAAGAAGATGAAATCTGCAGGTTTGGAGAGACGTTCATAAAGAACTTTTAAATAGAAGCAACTTCCTTCAACACTAACAGCCTGTCAGCATCATACGCCTCACCTCTAAAAGCAGAGAGAAAACAGATGAGAAAATGTACTGTGACCAATGAGATGTTCTTTTCCTAGAGGAGAAAGAGGTGCAGACAGACAGGGGCGGAGAAAGAGAGAGAGAAAAAAAGGACAAACGACAACACGAGGAAGAGTAGAGAGAGGGAGAGGACGGAGCGCTGTCACTTTGCCGTTTCACCCTGTCCATTTATGTGAAATGCTTGACACTGGCAGGAGAAATGAACAGGCATGTTAAACTAAAGTGACACCCACCACACACACACACATTGGTTTTCCATGTTTTATGGGGACTTTCTGCCCTTTTCTTTTTTCATTGCATATTCTGCATTATTGGATGTTTTTTAATAAACACTGACCAAAAAACAAAACAAAGTTTTTATAAAGTTTTAGGGCTGGACGATATGATGATGTATATATAGGCTATAACACTGGTATAAGTGATCACCCGGATTTAGACCTACCTATATTGTCTTTATATAAAGCGTTCACAGGCAAATTTGCTTTATGTTTAGGTCTATATTGCTTTTATTTCCCCGGTGTCAAAATCAGGCAAACATAAATGTCAGGCAACACGATTCCTGGCTGCAGGTCAATATCCATGGACCACTGGATCTTTAGTAAGTTGAAGAAACACTATATTGAGTGTCCAACATTTAGTTTAAATTGATAAAATTGTTCGTTTTAGTTGCATTTTCACAGTTTCCCCTATTAAATCCAGTCACGCAGCAGATCTTTTGCCACTCAGTCAGGCTAAGGGGGATCGTTCCGATGGGAAAGTGACGTCAATGCATTGCATTCCCTCTATGCTGCACAAACTGTATATTTTATCCCCTAAACCATCACAGAAAACTCTGCATTTTTACATTTTCAACAAACATCACTTGGTTATTTTGACTAAGTATTATAGCAAGTTACTAATTACGTTTATAATGATTTTTATTTATTTCTTTACATTTTGGAGCTTGACAGCAGCAGTCCTCGTTTACTGTAATTATATGGAACAGACACAGTGTTCTTCAAAAACTCAGCAGCGCTCCACAGAAGAAAGTTAAAGAGTAGTTCAACTTTTGCTGATAATTTACTCATTCGCATGTCATCCAAGACGTCCATGTCATTCTTTCTTCAGTCGAAAAAGAAATTAAGGTTTTTGATGACAACATTCCAGAATTTTTCTCCATATAATGGACTTCAATGGGAACCAAACGGTTCAAGGTCCAAAAGACAGTTTCAGTGCAAACTACAAACTGTTCAAAGGGCTTTAAACGATTCCAGACAATGAATAAGGGTCTTATCAAGCGAAACGATCACTCATTTAAAAAAAATATTAAAGTTTAAGTTTTATAAGCACAAATGCTCACCTTGCTCTGTTCTGTGATGCACGTTTGTGACTCTCCTGTTCGAACTCGTTCATCAAAATGAACAAATCTTTTTCTGATTAAATTCGTTCGTTTTGTTTGTTGAATGAACCAAATGACTCGGAAAAAGATTTGTTCATTTTGATGAACGAGTTCGAACAGGAGAGTCACAAACACGCATCACAGAAAAGAGCAAGGCGAGCATTTGAGCTTATAAAACGTAAACTTTGTTATTTATTTATTAATTGAGCGATCGTTTCGCTTGATAAGACCCTTATTCATCATCTGGTGTCATTTAAAGCTGCACTGAAACTGTCTTTTGGACCTTGAACCGTTTGGTTCCCATTGAAGTCCATTATATGGAGAAAAATCCTGGAATGTTTTCATCAAAAACCTTAATTTCTTTTCGACTGAAGAAAAAAAGACATGGACATCTTGGATGACATGGGGGTGAGTAAATTATCAGCAAAAAAAGTTTTATCAAAAAAAAACAAAAAAAAACTACTCCTTTAAATGGATTCAATGTTAAAAAAAAAGGTAACGTTAGGAATACCAAGTAAATACCATGGTATATGTAAATGGGAGTCAGTCGGTACCCTTTGGATCCCATCACTGTACACACACGTATTGTTTTGTTTCTGAGGGATATAAGAAGCACATTCTCTGAGCAGTTGCATATATCCTCACACAATAGAGACTGTAAACCCAGTGAACGTGACACGCACAGAAACACACACATCCCTGCGGACTAAAGTACCTGCTATCACAGGACCTCACAGATGAGGCTCATCTGTAAAAGGTTCAGCTGATGAGAGGTCCAAGTAATTGGTCACATCCTGGAGTGGATGTGAATCACAGGATGTGCGCGTGTGCCGGAGAGAAAGGCAGTCATCAGAGAAACCAGCAGAAGATGAAACATACTTGTGATTCCAAGAATGCATTCTCTATTACCTCAAAACTGACACACTATTGGAGAAAGAATTCAGATTCTAGTTATCCTCCATATACTCGCACTGCCCATGTAAAATAGGATTTGTATATGCTGTAAAGCTTTTTAAAATTATTTAAATCTCCCATAAAGCCACATGCCAGCTTTAAGGCTTGTATTACAATCAGCAAATGGCTTTACATTTTCTAGAAAATGATTTAATATGCTACTTGCGTGCGTCATTGACAGCATACAGCCACAGTGTGAGAGACAGCATGACTGTTTTTATGGGAGAGGGAAAAGTGTGTTCACACATACGCACGCAAGCTAAATGTGAGCGTCTATTGAACAAAAGACAAGGGCCAGCAGATCAGACGAATCCTCAATTCAGTAAAATCACCTTGCTTGGTTTGTATTTCTTGCATGCCATGTTGGAATAGCCCCGCCCACACCTGAATCTCATTGGCCCACAATCGTGCATCCTAAACAGGTGAGACTCGCCTGGTCTCAACATGGATTTTCTCGGTTCACAATGTAGATGCGTTCACACTTTTGAAATTGCAAACTCGCATTTATTTGAATAGTATAATGTTCTTCCACACTGATAAAAAATTATTAGCAACATGAAGTGCATTACTAAACATTACATCAGGGTTTCCCTATGTAGGGTTATAAATACATAAATCATTTAAAAATAAACAATCAAAATACAACACGAACAACAACAACAACAAAAAAGATTAAATTTTTTATTTGTTTATGCTGTGTGGCCTCTCAGTTTTCCATGTAATTATAGTCACATGACTGTGTGTGCAGTTCCATAAAACTTTTGAGAAAGGAACATTTTAAAGAGACAAAATTTTAAAGATAAAAAATTTTTTTAAAAATAATTTACTGCCATTTTGTGATTATTAAGTAAACATGTAAGCAATAAAAAGTAACAGTATTTTGATTTTTTGAGTATTTTAAAAAGCAATATAAGTATTTAATTTTTGTAATCTGATTAAATAATCCATCAGTTCCTACCCAGCACTGCTTTCAAATACCTTTTTTGCAACTTTTTTTGTTTGTAATGTTGCGATTCACCTCGTAGTTGGTTGGTTTGGATCATGACTTATATAATTTATTTCCAAGACTTTTTGCTATTGGAAAAATAAAAGTGAAAATATAGCTGCGAGCAGCAATGGCGGGCCCAAGCCGGTGGCACCGCAACCCCGGTTCCTTTAGTTACCTAAAGGCACCCAGGTGGCGGTGCCGAAGGCTTTGGCCCTTTCATGATTAAATGTTAAAACGGCTTGCCATACTCTGTCATTTCGACTAGTCACAGTTATGTTACAGATATCTTAAATGATAATACAAACTATCCAAAATGTAATTACGAATAGACAGAAAGACGTTGATGATATCTACAATGTTAATTCCGGACAGGCAAACTTAGCTTTTAAATGTTAAAAGGGCTTGCCATACAGGGACGTAGGCTCAGAGAGAGGCTCACCATATTCAAACCAAAATATCTGACTTCCTCTTGGTCCGAGCTAATGACTATGTATTAGAAAGTTGTCCGGCTTGAGGAGTACAATGTATATAGCGATTTTTGTAACTGTAGATAAAACTAACAACCCCACTTTTGTCAAAAGGTGGCGCTATTTAGTCCTTGCACTATGCCCGTTTCTGAACTTTGCACATGTCTACTGGCTAATAAATGTGATGTATCTGTTGAGTTTCAAGCAATTTCAATTTCAATTTCAATTTGACTGTTGAAAAGAAGTGCGCCGATTAGTTCTCAGGAATCGGTAATCGGCTCTGACACTGCCATCTTTGACGAGGCTGCATTCAAATTCTATATTGTGCATATATACTATTCTATGTTAGGCACAAAGGCACAAAAACTTTCTAAAGTACCATAAAGTTTTTGTGTACTGTATTATTAGTGTTCTGAAGCTATTATTGTGATATAGAAATTAATATTTAAGTCATTAAATTCAAGAACACAAACTTTTCCCTCTCTGCGCCTGTCAGTCATTCTCCATTCAGCATTCAAACAGCACGTCACATTCGGTTACAGTCAATGATGAAACGATCTTCAATGATTCAATGTTAATCCTATTATACTGGATCTTTAAGATAAAGGTCTAAAGGTCTATATTTTCGAATGAAGAAACTTTTTCTTGCTGGACTTTATTGCTGTAACTTAATCGTGTTACTTTCTACCGGGTGTCGGACGCTGTCGGTTAGATCACAACACTAGAGTCAGAGCACTATATAATTGTTCTTCACGCACACAGTAACTGAAATTTAAAAACCTTTAAAAGAAAAGGCTCAATAAATATTGCATAGATAGATAATGTATAATACACTGTTCATAAATATGTATTTCCTTTGTGCTTTGAAACTTTTCAATATGGACTCACTGCGCTGTAACTTCATGTGGCTTCAAGCACATCATTCTCCGCTCGGGATGCACATAAGTGCTTTGTGCTGCAACCGTATTGGAGCCGTAATATCATAATGCAGTGACGTAATGACAGATTATTAATTGCCTTTCAATTATATATGTTGCTGCGTCATTAAACATCTGTCCTATGCATTTCAAACATTTATAGCAGCCATGGCTATATGTTTTTATTATTTTTGTTATCTTGTTTTTCATGAATGTATTTTTCAAAAATAAGAGCAATGTGTATTATCTATTATTAATATGGTTTATAATAGCATTTTTGTCAAGATTATGACAAAAGTAATCATATGATCCACCAGCGAGGAACCAGCAGAACAGAGTGAACATTCTTTCTGTTTAGTTCAATCCTACTTAATAGGAATTTATTTAAAATGCTCGCTCTACTCCACACCATTAATGTCTTGTGGCGGACATCTGTATTTTGACTTTCGGTTTTAAGTAAGCGATTTAAAAGCTCCCAAGTCCCAGCGGAGTCACACGTTGATTAACCGGTGGGAAATACACAATAGGCCTAACATTACCTGATTACTGAACACAAGAGGGCAGTATAGCACTACGTATGACTCAGATTATTATTGTTTTTATGAAATTTTACAACAATTCTGGCTGTTTTTTGAACGTAAACATAATTCTTAAATGAAAAAAAGGAAAAATTGGGGAAGTTATAATATTTGTATAATTTTAATTTAGAAACAATGATGTATAATTACATTTTTAGAAGATATGAGGCTTAAGTGTTTACTTTTTTGACATTACTTTAACTTTTGCCATAGTTGCACATGTCTATGGCTAATAAATGTGAT